GCGAGGGTCCTGAGATGGTCCCCAGACCCATTACTGCAGATCCAAGACAACCTGCAGACAAGAGCCCCTGAACCCCCTTCCTTCCCGGCCCTGGCCCTCAGGAAGGGACAGGCATCTTACTCCCCTGCCCCCCGCCCTGTCCCCGCTGGGGTCTCCAGCCTTCCCTCCCTCCAGCCAGGAGGCCGGAGCCAAGACAGATGTGCAGCCTCCCGCCCCAAGAGGAGAGGGAAGCTGTGTGTCCCAGGCCGGGCCGGGCGCCAGCCCTCACACCCGCCTCCCGCCCTCACCCTCGGCCTCCGGGAGCCACACACGCTCTGCTTCCGCTCCTCTGTTCCCCATTCACAGACGGCCATCCTCATGGCCAGCCAGGCGCCCGCAGCTCACGCCTGTCATCCCGGCCGCTCAGGAGGCTGAGAGCTGAGGATCGCGGTTCAAAGCCAGCCCGGCCCAGGCAGAAAAAGTCCCTGAGATTCTCAGCTCTAGTGAACCCCCTAAACATAAAAACCCAGAAGTGGGGCTGTGGCTCAAGTGGTAGCGCAGCCAGCCTTGAGGGAAAAAGCTAAGGCCCAGCGCCCAGGCCCTGAGTTCAAGTTTGAGCTCCAGCACCTGCTCACACACACAAAGCATCTTGATGTTGGATGAACACACACACACACACCGCCAGCCTCACAGGGGCTGGCTCTCCTGAGCCTCAGTTTCCTCATCTGTAAAACAGTAAATGTCCCACGGGGACCCTGGGACCACACACCTCCCCCCCTCCCCTTTGGAAAGTAGGGGACAGAGGATGTGGAAATCCTCCTCCAATGAAGAGGAAAATGACAAGCCAGGGAAAAACCTCTTGGAAAAGGTCCCTACCGCCTGGGCAAAGCCTCCCCGCCCCGGGCCTGGGAGTCACCGGGATCCACAAAGACGCCTTTGAGCGTCTTCCTCCCCCTCCCTCCCCACCCTGTCCATCCCTTCCCGCCAGCCTGCAGCCTGGGCGGACACCCTGCTCCCTCAAAACCTCACATTTTCCCTCCTGCTTCCCTTGATTCCCACGTGGCCCCAAAGCTGGGACACGTGGCTGGGAGCCCAGGGGACCAGCCCCATCCGTCCGTCTGTCTGAGGGGACCCCATCATGGGGGAACGCCCCTCCCCCTGGGTGACCAAGGCCTGAATGAACAGAACTGAGGCCAGGGCCCAGGCCCTGGGTGATGGTGGGAAGCACCCCGTTCCTCACTTTGTCAGAGACCTGAGAGGAGGGCCCATCAAGCAGAATGCACTCAGTGGGTGCGCTACCACCCAAACCATGCCCCCAGCCCACCTTTTTTGCTGGCTACGGTGGGTGTCTGGATTTTGTTGTTTGTGTGGTGCATCTGCCAGGCCAAGGCAGAAGCTGGCCATCAGCCACGGGGAATCGGGGTGCACAGAAAGCCAGGGATCCTGCCATGACTGCGGGGGGGGGGGTGTCGCTGAGCCACAGGGCTGTCACCTGGGAAGGCCACGTTGTCCCTTGGATCTGACCTGAAATCGGTCCTCTGGGTGCACGCTAGCCTGTCTGTCTGTCTGTCTGTCTCTCTCTCTCTCTCTCTCACACACAGACACACACACACACACGCATGCACGCACTCACACAGGGCTGGGCTGCTTTAATCCATGTCTGGAAGTCAGACAGGGCACCAGGCGCCTCATAGATGTCCCCGTTTGGGGGACAGAACTTGGGGAAAACTAAACAGTGGAGGAATCAGGAGAGGAGTCAGGGATGTCAGGAATCGAGCCCTGCTCCTGGCCCGGGACACTCAGCCCCTCCCGCAGGCTCTGACCCAGACCCCAGGCAGCCCGGCCCCTGGCACCCAGGCCCAGGGGACACAGAGAACCCTTCATCCGACCCACCGATCCAGGTGAAGTTGACGCCCAGCCGCCAGCCGCCCTGTGGGCTGGGACCTGCCGCTGCCAACCCCCCAGGGCTGCCCCGCCCTCCCCAGCCAGCTGGCTGGGACCCACTCCAGCAGGACCTGAGGATCTGCGCTGGTCCTGGGACTTGAACTCAGGGCCTGGGCACTGTCCCTGAGCTTTTACACTCCAGTCTTGGTGCACTACCACTTGAGCCACAGCACCACTTCTGGCTTTCTGGTGGTTCATTGGAGATGAGGGTCTCATAGACTTAACTGCTCAGGTTGGCTTTTGTTTTTTGTTTTTGTTTTGTTTTTTGCTGGTCATGGGGCCTGAACTCTGGGCCTGGGCGCTGTCTCTCAGCTCTTCAGCTCAAGGCTAGCGCTCTACCACTTGAGCCACAGCACCACTTCCGGCTTTTTCTGTTTATGTGGTGCTGAGGAATCGAACCCAGGGCCTCATGCATGCAAGGCAAGCACTCTACCGCTGAGCTACCTTCCCAGCCCCCCCAGGTTGGCTTTGAACCTCGATCTTCCTGTCCTCAGCCTCCTGAGTAGCTAGGATGAGAGGTGTGAGCCACGGGCCGGTTAAGATTATTTCTTTTCTGTATGTTTGGACAGTGCTGGGGTTTGAAGCCAGGGCCTCATGCTTGCTAGGCAAGCGCTCTTACCACTCAAGCCATTCCCCCTGGCCCTGGGAATCTCCCCTCAGGTCTCCGTATCTGTCTCAGGCTTCTTTTTTAATCCCTATCTCGGTTATGGTGGTTGTGTGGGAGTGAATGAATGAATGGATGGGAGAGTGGACCCCCCCTTTCCCACCACACCTCCCGCCTGCTCCCCAACTTGCATGCCAGGACCCAGCCCCCCCCCCCCCGCCTGCCACTGGCTCCAGCTTTCTCCCTTATAAAGTCAGATGGCAGGGAACACGCAGGAATGCTGGTGTGCCCATGGCTCGCGTCTGGCTGCCCCAGGCTGGGGGGGGGGGCCTGTGGGGACCGCAGGGAGCGGGGAGGGGAGTTGGGGGGACTGGGGGCGGGGCCTCCCTGCTGGGAGGGGCTGGGAGGGTGGACGGTGTTCTCTGTTTCTGCCCCTATCGGATGGCTCCTCCCTGCAGCCTCCCTGCCTCTTCCGATTTGGGCTGCAGAGAATTTTGATATGGGGGACCCGGCACCCCCCAGGAGTGGGGGAAACGGAGGCATGGGAGAGCGGCACGGTTCACGTGGACAGCTGTCAGAGGGGCTGCGGCACCCTGGCTGGAAATGTGTCTGCGGTGTCCCCCAGGGCGGGTCCAAAGCCGAGAGCCCTCTCCTGGGGTCTGCAGAGCATGGCAGGCCTCCAGTGAGCCAGACTCAGCAAGGGCATAGTGACGCACACCTGTAATCCCAGAACTTCAGAGGCTGGGGCAGGAGGATCCGGAAATCCAGGCCAGCCAGGGCCACAAAGTGGATCTGGTCTCAAAAAGAAGGAGCCGGACACCGGTGGCTCATACCTGTCATCCTAGCTACTCAGGAGGCTGAGATCTGAGGATCGAGGTTCAAAGCCAGCCTGAGCAGACAAATCCCAGAGGCTTATTTGCTATGGACCAGCAAAAAGTGGAGGTGTGGCTCAGGTGGTGGAGCACTAGCCTTGAGCAGAAAAAGCTGAGCAACAGTATGAGGCTCTGAGTTCAAGCCCAGAACTGCTGGCACATGTGCGTGTGGGCACGCTCACACACACACACACACACACACACACTGGGGTTCAACTGAGGCCTGGGCTCAGTCCCTATACAGGAAGGAAGGAAGGAAAGAAAGCAGTTGTGCAGGGGAGGGTGCGGTCAGGCACCAGTGGCTCACGCCTGTCATCCTAGCTACTCAGGAGGCTGAGATCTGAGGATCACAGTTCAAATCCAACCCCAGGCAGGAAAGTCGGTGAGACTCTTATCTCCAATTAACCACTAGAAAACTGGAAGTGGCGCTGTGGTTCAAGTGGTAGAGGCTCGCCTTGAGCTGAAGAGCTGAGGGACAGTGCCCAGGCCCAGAGTTCAAGCCCCACCACTGACAAAAAAGAAAAAAGAGAGCAGTTGCAGGGAATGGATGAATGAACCAACCAATGAGTGAATAGGAGAGAGAGAACCCCACGCCCTTCCCTGCCACCCGGGGAAGGAGGGAGGGAGGGAAAGAAGGAGGAGGGAGGGAGGGAAGGAAAGAGAGAAGGAGGGAGGAGGAATGAAGGAGGGAGGGAGGAAGGAGGGAAGGAAGGAAAGAGAAAACCCTACACAAAGAAGTGAAGTCCCCCCAGCCCCGGGCAGGGCCTGAGCCCCATGGGCACACTCCCTGCCCTGCCCCCGGGGCCCCTGCCAGCTTGGCCAGGGAGAGCCCGGGCTGTGCAGGGTGGCAGCCCTGGGCATCAGGAAGGAGAAGAGCCGTGGCCCGGCCCCATGCGGCCCTGGGTGGCGGGAGGCAGGGTGGGGAGCCCCTGGAGCCTGGGGAACACTGGGCCTCTTTCATGGATCAGGGCATGGAGGGGCAGGCAGACCTGGGCACAATGGCCGCTCTGTCCCCGCCGCTCCAGGCCCACCCAGACACACGCACGCGCACACATGCACACACACACAGCTTCACACAAACCCAACACACACCCGGCCGCCACCCATACACAGAACCCACGCACTGCAGACTTGCACATGGTACAGGTGCACACGCACGTGGAGCCTGCACACGCACCTTCATGCCTTTACACACACACAGCCCACGTGGCCCACGGGGCCCCGGGCACCCTGCTTCTCCTGACCCGAGGCCCAGCACCCCCACCCCGACCTTCTACTTTACTACCTTACTGCCACGAGCCCTCTGCCCCAGGGATTTTTTTTTTTTTTTTTTTTGTCAGTCGTGGGGCCTGAACTCTGGGCCTGGACGCTGTCCCTCAGCTCTTTAGCTCAAGGCTAGCACTCTACCACTTGAGCCACAGCACCACTTCCAGGTTTTTCTGCTTATGTGGTGCTGAGGAATCGAACCCAGGGCCTCAGGCATGCAAGGCAAGCGCTCTACCACTGAGCCACCTTCCCAGCCCCAGCTCACCATTTCTTTATCCTGTACCCTGTACCCCAACTTCATTTGAAGCCGCCCCCCAATGCCTCCTGCCTCTAAGGCAGGACATTCCCTCTCTCTCTCTCTCTCTCTCTCTCTCTTTCTCTCTGTGTCTCTGTCTCTCTTTTTTTCTGTCTCTGTCTCTGTCCTTGTTGTCTCTCTGTCTCTCTTTCTCTCTGTCTCTGTCTCTCTCCCTCTCTTTCTGTCTCTTTTTTCTTTTTCTCTGTCTCTCTGACTGTCTCTCTTTCTGTCTCTTTTTCTCTCTGTCTCTCTTTTTTTCTTTATTGGTCTCTTTTTTTCTCTGTCTGTCTCTGTCCTTATCTGTCTCTCTGTTTCTCTATCTCTCTGTCTCTCCATCTCTCTGACTTTGTCTCTCTGTCTCTCTGCCTCTGTCTCTCTGTCTGTCTCCCTTTCTCTGTCTCTGTCGCTCTGTCTCTGTCTCTCTCTTTGTCTCTGTCTCTGTTTCTCTCTCTCTCTGTCTCCCCCTCTCTGTCTCTGTCTCTGTCTCCCTCTCTTTCTCTCTGTCTCTGTCTCTCTTTCTCTCTGTGTCTCTGTTTCTGCCTCTCTTTTTTTCTTTCTCAGTCTCTTTTCTCTGTCTGTCTCTGTCCCTATCTGTCTCTCTGTCTGTCTCTCCGTCTCTCTGTCTCTCCATCTCTCTGACTTTGTCTCTCTGCCTCTGTCTCTCTCTGTCTCCTCTCTTTGTCTCTGTCTCTCTCTGTGTCTCTGTCTCTCTTTTCTCTGTCTCTCTTTTTTCTCTGTCTCCCCTCTCTGTCTCTGTCTCTCTCTGTGTCTTTGTTTCTTTTTTTCTTTCTGTCTCTGTCTCTCTTTTTTCTGTCTGTCTCTGTCTCTGTCTCTCTCTTTCTCTCCGTCAGCCTGGAGGCTGAGAGCAGAGGTGGTGGACACTGTCAGAGTTTCCGCAGCTCCGGCCAGTGCGGCCTCCGAGGCCTGGGGTGGGGGTGCCTCCCCTGAGCGCCCCCATCGCACAAGGCCGCCAGTGTGAGCCCTTCCCCGCCGGGCCCTCAGGAAGCAGCGGCCAGGCCCCGTCAAGGGACCCATTCACACGCGCGCACACGCACACACACACACACACACACACACACACACGGGCTCTGGAAAGCGCCCTGGTCCGGCCCCTCCCGCTCCGCTCCGCACACATCTCCTTCTGGACGGGGTCCGGGGCAGGTGGTGCAGTAGCTCAGTGCCTGCCCGGCCCTGAGCCCTGGACTCCACCGAGTCCCCGGACGGCCACGGGGAGAAGGAGGGGAGCCCCAACGTGTCCCGTTCACTGCGTCCCGTGACAGAAACGTTTTCACTGTGGGCCGCGTTACCCGGCTTCTAATATTCCTGAAACTGTGACACTCGGCAACGTCCATGAAGCTGGCGGGCAGGGAGGCGGGTGGGAGAGGGGGATGCGCCGCACCACGGAGCTCGAACCACGATCCTCCCAATAGCTGCGTCCCACGTGGCTGGGATTACAGGCAGCCGCTTGGAGACCGGAGGGCTGAGGGGGACGGGGAGACTCCCGCCTATAATCCTAGCTACTCAGGAGGCTGAGGTCGGAGGCGATTCAAGGCCCATCCCAATTAACCAGCAAAAAGCCAGAGGTGGAGGTGCAGCTCCAGTGGTAGAGGGGTAGCCTTGAACAGAACAAGCCAAACAAGAGCAAGAGGCCCCGAGTTCAAGCCCCACGACTGGCATAAAGGGGAGGAGGGGGTTCCTGGGCGCCCACTAGCGCTGTGCTGCCCAGCTGTGGCCCGCTGCCCACAGGTCTCTGTTCCAGGCTGGGAGCCAGGCTCTGCTCACAGCTCAGCGCGGCTCAGCCCATTCTCATCCTGGCTCCTTGGCCCGTGGTAGGAACGCAGCCCGGAACTCACTGCTCACCAGAGACTGCTAACGGCCTCAGCTGGAAGCAATTGCAGGGTGACGGAGGGAGTTCCGGGCCATTCAGGGTCTGACATCACATGTGGGTCCCATCCGGCCTCCCTTCCCAGGCTTTGCTCCCCACACCCCCCTTCCCAGACAGCTGGGAAAGAAGCAGGGGGCGGAGAGGGAGGGGCTCGTGGGAGCTGAGACCTGGCATCGCCTCCAAGAAGTGCTGGAAGTTTCCGGAAAATTCTGGAAACTTCCAGAAAATTCTGGAAACTTCCAGAAACATCTGACTTCTTCCTTCACAGCCAAAAGCCTAGATTCCACAGGAGATGAGGCTAAGATGGTTGTTTGACACCTGACTGGGGCCCCCGGGCAGGGTTAACTCGGGGTACCCCCCTGGGCCTTGACCCCAGCTTCCCCCCTCTCTGCCAGCCTCCTTCTTCGGTGAGAACCACCTGCAGGTGCCCATGGCCACAGCCCTGACCAGCATCAACCTTGAACTTCAGTTCTCCACGGCTCAGCCCGACGCACTCCTCTTCCTGGCGGCGGGCCAGGCTGACCATCTCCTGCTCCAGCTCCTGTCCGGACGCCTGCAGGTCAGCCATGCCCTGAGAACAGGCCCCCATGGCCGACAGGGCCGGGCGGGTCACAGCCACCATCCTGCTGGGGTCCCAGCTGGCCCTGATCCGCTGTCCTGGGCGGTCCCGGCCCCCCAAGACCCCTGTGGCCATTGCTTTGTCAAACTGCCCATCCTGGCCTGGACCAGTGGCCTTCCTTCCGGATAACCAACCTTCCTTCCTTCCTTCCTTCCTTTCTTTTTTCTTTCTTTCTTTCTCTCTCTCTTTCTCTCTCTCCCTCCTTCCTTCCTTCCTTTTTTTCTTTCTTTCTCGTTCTTTCTTTTCTCTCTCTTTCTCTCTCTCTCTCTCCCTCCCTCCCTCCTTCCTTCCTTCCTTCCTTCCTTCCTTCCTTCCTTCCTTTTTTGCCAGTCCTAGGGCTTGAACTCAGGGCATGCACGCTGTCTCTGAGCTTCTTTTGCTCAAGGCTTGCATTCTGCCAGGAGCCACAGCTCCATTACTGGTTTTCTGGTGGTTTACTGGCAATAAGAGTCTCACGGACTTTGCTGCCCAGGCTGGCTGTGAACCATGATCCTCAGATCTCAGCCACCTGGGTAGCTAGGATGACAGGCGTGAGCCACCAGCGGCTGGCTTCTCCTTTAGCTTTGTTTGCTCAAAGCTAGTGCTCTATCACTTGAGCCACACTTCCACTTCCAGCTTTTTGGGGAATGCTGGAGATAAAGAGTCTCATAGCCGGGCGCCGGTGGCTCACGCCTGTCATCCTAACTACTCAGGAGGCTGAGATCTGAGGATCACAGTTCAAAGCCAGCCCAAGCAGGAAAGTCCGTGAGACTTTTTTTTTTTTTGGTCCATCATGGGGCTTGAACTCTGGGCCTGGGCGCCGTCCCTCCACTCTTCAGCTCAAAGCTAGCGCTCTACCAACTTGAACTACAGCACCACTTCCAGCATTTTCTGTGTATGTGGTGCTGAGGAATCGAACCCAGGGCCTCAGGCATGCGAGGCGAGCACTCTACCACTGAGCCACCTTCCCAGGCCTCCATGAGACTCTTATCTCCAATTAGCCACCAGAAAACCAGACATAGCACTGAGGCTCAAGTGGTAGAGTGCTAGCCTTGAGCTGAAGAGCTGAGGGACAGCGCCCAGACCCTGACCACTTGAGCCACAGTGCCACTTCCAGTTTTTGAGTGGTTCATTGGAGATAAGAATCCTTTCTGCCCAGGCTGGCTTTGAATCTCGATCCTCAGATCTCAGCCTCCTGAGTAGCTGGGATGGCAGGTGTGAGCCACTGGCACTCAGCCCTCATAGAACTTTCCGGCTCAGGCTGGCTAAGAACTGCCATCCTCAGATCTCAGGCTTCTGAGTAGCTGGGATTACAGGCGTGAGCTGCGGTGCTGACTTCCGTGTGCTTTTGAAGGAGCGATGGATTCAACCCCCCCCCACACACACACCCCTGGTCTCCCCGTGTCCCCTCAGGTGAGACTCGTCCTGGGCCCGGAGGAGCTGAGGCTGCAGGCCCCCGGAGGGCCGCCTGTGACCGACGGCGCCCCGCACACCGTGTTGCTCTCAATCGCTGACGGCTGGGCCGAGCTCTCCGTGGACGGACTAAACACCTCCGCTGCCGCCTCGGGAGCCCCGCTGGAGGCCGCCTATGGGGTGTTCGTGGGGGGCTCGGGGGGCCTATCCCTGCCCTACCTGCGTGGAGCGAGCCGCCCCCTGAGAGGCTGCCTCCACGTGGCCAGCCTCAACGGCCGGGGCCTCCTGCGGCCCCTGACTCCCGGGGTGCAGGAGGGCTGCGCGGAGGAGTTCTCCACGGGGGACGACGTAGCTTTGGGATTCTCCGGGGTGCAGTCGCTGGCTGCCTTCCCCGCCTGGCAGGCTCAGGACGAGGGCACCCTGGAGCTGACCCTCACCACGCGCAGCCCGCGGGCGCCGCTGGCCTTCCAGGCGGGCGGGCGGCGCGGGGACTTCATCTACGTGGACATCTTCGACGGCCACCTGCGCGCCGTGGTGGAGAAAGCGCAGGGCACCGTGCTCCTGCACAACAGCGTGCCCGTGGATGACGGCCAGCCCCACGAGGTCAGCATCCGCGTGGACGCCCAGCAGCTGCAGATCTCCGTGGATCAGTACCCCACCCGGACTTCCAATCGCGGGCCTCTCGGTTATGTGGAATCTGGGGGTCACCTCCTGCTCGGGGGGCTGGACGCGGAGGCCATGGGGCATCTCCAGGGGCATCGCCTGGGCCTGGCGCCGCCCAGCGCCTCCCTGGAGGGCTGCGTGGAGGATCTGCGCGTGAATGGACGCAGACACGGACTCCGTGACGCGCAGTGGACCCGCCACATGGCGGCCGGCTGCAAGAACGAGGAAGATGAGTATGAGGAGGATGTCTACGGCCAGTACGACGTGCTCTCCACCCTGGCGCCCGACATCTGGCCAGCTGTGGAGCTGCCCGAGCCCTGCGTCCCCGAGCCCGGCCTGCCCCCGGCCTTCGCCAACTTCACGCGGCTGCTGACCATCCACCCACTGGCCGTGGCCGAGGGCGGCGCGGCGTGGCTGGAATGGCGGCACGTGCAGCCCACGCTGGACCTGACCGAGGCCGAGATGCGCAGATCCCAGGTCCTGTTCCGGGTGAGCCGGGGACCCCGCCACGGCCAGCTGGAGCTGGACATCCCCGGTGCCCAGGCCCGGAAGATGTTCACCCTGCTGGACGTGGTCAACCGCAAGGTCCGCTTCGTCCACGATGGCTCCGAGGACGCATCCGACCAGCTGGTACTAGAGGTGTCCGTGACAGCACGGGGACCGGTGCCCGGCTGCCTGCGCAAAGGCCAGATTTACCTCCTGCCCGTCGAGATCAGCCCGGTGGACGACCCTCCGCGAGTGCTCTTCCCACAAGGCGGCCTCATGACCATTCTAGAAAACACCCAGAAGCCCCTAGGGCCTGAGATCGTACAGGCCTACGACCCAGATTCCCCCTGCGAGAGCCTCACCTTCCAGATCCTCGGGGCCTCCACCAGCCTCCCCGTGGAGCATCGCGAGCGGCCCGGGGAACCCACCGCCGAGTTCTCTTGCCAGGATCTGGAGAGAGGGGACATAGTCTACGTGCACCGCCGTGGCCCGGCGCAGGACCTGAGCTTGCGGGTCAGCGATGGGCTGCAGGCCAGCGCCCCGGCCACGCTGCGGGTCGTGGCGGTGCGGCCCACGCTCCGTGTCCGCCACAGCACCGGGCTGCGCCTGGCGCAGGGCTCGATCGCGGCCATCACGCCGGCCAACCTGTCGGTGGAGACCAACGCGGTGGGCCAGGATGTGAGCGTGCTGTTCCGGCTGACGGGGGCCCTGCAGTTTGGGGAGCTGCAGAAGCGGGGGGCCGGCGGGGCGGAGGGCACGGAGTGGTGGCCCACGCAGGCTTTCCACCAGCGCGACGTGGACCAGCACCGCGTGCGCTACGTGAGCACCGATCCCGCGCGTCGGCGCCTGGACATGGCCGAGGACGTGGCGCTGGAGGTGCAGGTGGGGCAGGAGACGCTGGACAACCTGTCCTTCCCCGTGTCTATCCAGCGGGCCGCCGTGTGGATGCGGCGCCTGACGCCGCTGCGCACGCACCACGCCCGGCCCGAGCCGCTGACCGCTGCGCACCTGGAGGCCGCCCTGGAGGAGGAGGCGGCGGCCGAGGCCACCCCGAGCCCCAGCGCCTTCCGCTACCACCTCGTGCAGCCCCCCAAGAAGGGCAACCTGCAGCTCCGGGGTGCCAGGCTGGCCGAGGGCCAGAGCTTCACGCAGGACGACATCCACACGGGCCGGGTCAGCTACGTGGCCACCACACGCGTGTCCCAGGCCACGGAGGACGCCTTCCGCTTCCGGATCACGGCCCCCCCCCACTTCTCGCCGCTCTACACCTTCCCCGTCCACGTGGGCGGCGACCCGGACGCCCCCGTGCTCACCAACACCGTGCTGCCCGTGCCCGAGGGCGGCCACGCCACGCTCACCCCGCAGCACCTGTTCATCAAGAGCCCCCACGGCGACAGCTACGTGTACGAGGTGATCGAGAGCCCCCGCCACGGGCGGCTGGCGTGGCAGCCCCCGCGGGACGCCGCCGCGCCCGTGACCACCTTCACCAACGACGACCTGCGTCGTGGCCTCCTGCAGTACCGGCACGACCACTCCGAGACCACGGAAGACGACGTCCCGTTCGTGGCCACGCGCCAGGGCGAGAGCAGCAGCGGCGACGCGGCGTGGGAGGAAGTCCGGGGCGTCTTCCGCGTGGCCATCCGGCCCGTGAACGACCACGCGCCCCGGCAGGTGGTCAGCCGCGTGTTCCGCGTGGCGCGGGGCGGGCGGCGGCTGCTGACCACCGACGACGTGGCCTTCAGCGACGCCGACTCGGACGCCAGCGACGCGCAGCTGGTGCTCACACGCAAGGATCTCCTGTTCGGCAGCATCGTGGCGGTGGAGGACCCCGCCAGGCCCGTCTACCGCTTCACGCAGGAGGACCTGCGGGCCGGGAGGATCCTCTTTGTGCACTCCGGGGCCGACCACGGCTGGCTGCAGCTGCAGGTGTCCGACGGGCAGCACCAAACCACCGCCATGCTGGAGGTCCAGGCCTCGGAGGCCTACCTCCGCGTGGCCAACGGCTCGGGCCTCGTGGTGCCGCAAGGCGGCCAAGGCACCGTCGACGCAGCTGCATTCCACCTGGAAACCAACTTGGATATCCGCAGCGGAGAGGAGGTCCACTACCGAGTCACGGCGGGCCCGCGCTGGGGACAGCTGCTCCGAGCCGGCCAGCCGGCCACCGCCTTCTCCCAGCAGGATTTGCTGGATGGGAAGATTCTCTACAGCCATAATGGCAGCCTCGCTCCTCGGGACTCTGTGGGTCTCGCTGTGGAGGCCGGCCCGGTGCGCACAGACGCCATCCTACAGGTGACCGTCGTGCTGGACGGCACGCCGGCCCCGCCGCAGCTGCTCAGACACCAGAAGATCTACGCCGTCCAGGGAGAAGCAGCGAGGATCGGAAGAGAGCAGCTGGAGGTGAGAAAGTGGGGTGATCGGCAGAGTCGGGGGACCAGGCAGAGGGGCTCTGCGGTCTGCAGGGTGTGCCTGTGTGTGTTTGGGGCTGGCCGCTGGGGCTCAGGTGTTGGGATGTGCATCTGTGAGTGCTATATTCTCGTGTGAGTGTGTGTGTGTGTGTGTGTGTGTGTATGTGTGTGTGTGTGTGGTGCCAATCCTGGGTCGTGAACTCAGGGCCTGGGTGCAGTCAAGGCTGGCGCTCTACCCCTTGAGCCACAGCCACACTGCCAGCTTTTTGGTGGCCCGTTGGAGATCACAGTCTCTCGGGGACTTTTCTGCCCAGGCGTGGCTTTGATCCCTGATGCTCAGATCTCAGCCTCCTCAGTAGCCGGGATGACAGGTGTGAGCCACCGGGGCGGGACTGGGGGCCGAGCCTTGAGATGTACTGATCACGGGCAGACCCCGCCGCTGCCCCAGCCCCTCCGTTTCCCTCCCGAGACTACAAAGGCTCACACAACCTCAGGCTGTTGACTGTGTGAGCTCGAGCCAGGCCCTTGCCCTCTCTGGGCCTTGTGCTCCTTTGCTACCAGCTGCTGAGGCCCTGAGTCTTGGTGTTTGAGCCGACTCTGGTGAGTCCCAGGCCCGGCTTCCACACCGGCCTTGGTAGGTAAGTTCCCAGGACCTGGAGCGGAGGCCTGTGTGCGCCATCTAGTGGTCATTGGTGGTGATAGCAGGAGGGGATGTTAGCTTCCTGAGCAGCGTTTGAGTGTGTGTGTGTGTGTGTGTGTGTGTGTGTGTGTGTGTGTGTGTGATGAGATTGTGTGGGTGCTGCACGTGCACGGTTTTGGAGAAGGATAGAGATGTGGCCAGGCGCCGGTGGCTCACGCCTGTCATCCCAGCTACTCAGGAGGCTGAGATCTGAGGATCACGGTTCAAAGCCAGCCCGGGCAGGAAAGTCCGTGAGACTCTTATCTCCAATGAACCACCAGAAAACCGGAAGTGGTGCTGTAGCTCAAAATGCTAGAGCACCAGCCTTGAGTGAAAGCGCTCAGGGCCAGCGCCCAGGCCGTGAGTTCGAGGCCCAGGATGGACAAAAATAACAGGTAAAAGGTGTGTGGCTGCAGCGTGTCTGGGTGTGAGGCCCTGGGCCTGTGTGACACACTGGTGCCCGTGCTCTCTGCCATCCAGGTGTCTCAGGAGGCCGTGCCCCCGGCGGACATCGTGTTCTCGGTGAAGATGCCCCCGGCCGCTGGCCACCTGGTGTCCCAGGGCCCTGACGCGGCCGACCCCCGCAGCCTGGGCCCCGCGGGGAGCTTCTCCCAGGAGGACGTAAATGCGGGCAGGGTCTTCTACGTGCACACTCGCCCCGAGGCTGGGGAGGACGCCTTCTCCCTGGACGTGACCTCCGGCCTTGGCGCCCCCCTGGAAGGCGTCCTCTTGGAGCTGGAAGTGCTGCCCAGAGTCTTACCCCTGGAGGCCCAGAACTTCAGCGTTCCCGAGGGCGGAGCGCGCACCTTGGCTCCGCCCCTGATCCGGGTCCCCGGGCCACGCCTCTCCACACTGCCCGGCCTCCGGCTGCACGTGCTGGACCCGCCCCAGCACGGGGCCCTGCGGAAGGAGGGGCAGCGGCAAGACCAGACCCTACTCAGCTTTTCCTGGAGAGAGGTATGGCTGTGGGGGCCGAGGGGGGGGGCATCAAGGGCTCCCAGCCTGGGGTCCGTACAGCGAGGAAGAAGGTCGCATCTAGACGTATTCCGCTTTGTGCTTCATCTCATTCCTCCCTCCAGCAGATCGAAATTGTCCCCTACTTTCCACCCAGAGACACTGAGACCTCCACTCATGCAGCGATCCCAGCTCCTCAGGAGGCTGAGAGCTGCGGATCATCCAGCCCTGGGGAAGGAAAGTTAGTCTGCGAGTCTCTCTTCTCTCCAGAGAACCAGCAAAAAAAGCTGGAAGTCGAGCTGTGGCTCAAGGGGTAGAGTGTCAGCCTTGAGCGGAAAAAGCCAAGTGCGATCACGAGGTCCTGAGTTCAAGCCCCAAGACTGCCACAAAAAGAAAAGAACAGAGAGCAAGTTCTGCTCCTCCGGCACGCGCCAGCAGGGCGTGAAGTGCGCGGGTTCTGGGAGCGGGGGTGACAGCCGCCCTGTCTGGCCCACAGGTGGAGGAACAGCAGATTCTCTATGAGCACGATGGAAGCCAGGCGCTTATGGATCGTTTCGTGCTGGTGGCCAACGCCTCGGGCGTCCACAGCCAGAGCGCGCCCGTGGCCTTCGCCATCACCATCCAGCCGGTGAACGACCAGCCTCCCGTCCTCACCACAAACAGGGGCCTGCAGGTGAGACCATCCACGCCGGGCCACCCCCTCCCGGCTTCGGGAAAGACCCTCCGATCCCCTTGCTCGCCTTTCTCTGTGTTTCGGTTGCCTCCTCTGCAAAGTGAGGTCTCTGGCTAAAAGGTCAGAAGGTGAGAGTTGGCACTGTGTCCGTTTAAGGGTGGACGGCCATGCTCAGCGGGCCCCGTGACTCCTGAGACTTGACAAGAACACGGCTTTTGCTGTGCTTCAGCACCAAAGCACCTGGCAGGATTCTTGTTAGCAGCTGCTGGGATTTGAACTCAGGGCCTTGTGCTTACTCAGACTCCCCCCCTCCCTTTTATTTTTCCTTAAGTTTTAATTGTTTTTCAGGTAGTGTCTCCTGCCTCTGACCACGATCTTCCTACCTAAGCCTCCCATTTAGCTGGGATTATAGGCAGGTACTACCACACTCAGCCTGGCAAAAGTTCCAATAAGGGCTGGGAAGGTGGCTCAGTGGTAGAGTGCTTGCCTTGCATGCATGAACCCCTGGGTTCGATTTCTCAGTACCACATACCCAGAAAAAGCCACAAGTGGCCCTGTGGTTCAAGTGGTAGAGTGCTAGCCTTGAGCAAAAGAAGCTCAGGAACAGTGCCAGGTTCTGAGTTCAAGCCCCAGGACTGGGGGGGGAAAATTCCTTAAGGGTGAATGTTTAACGGTCCCCCACCTACCTCACCCCCAACAGTCAAATTTTGGGTTCTCTGAGCTCCTGGACCCCTGCTCTGCAGAGGAGGAAGCCCAGAGAGTCATAGAACTCCACTGGTCACAGGAACAGGAAGTGTGGCTTGACCAAGCCCCACGTGGCACAAGCGCTGACAGACTGAGCTTTGAATGCCAGCTTATCGAGGTGGATGCCACATTGGCAGGAGCTATGGAAAGTTCCAGACGAGTGCTCACTTGAGCTGTCTTTGGTGGTGATGTAGGCTGCCTGCGACCATCGGCCTGGAGTGCTGTGTGGCCATTTGGCCACCAGATGGCACCATAGGCCTGTGTTTGCTCCCTAAGTCCCCACTGAAGCCGGGTGCTCCCGGGGACACATTTGAGGGGCCGGATTTGGGGAGCCCTACCCTGCTTGCAAGGAGACCTCATTTCACTTCTGCACTTGAGGGTTGGGGCAAGCCAAAGCATATCTAAGGATCCATAGCTAGCCCAGCACCGGTGGTTCATGCCTGCCAGCCCAGCCAACTCCGGAGGCTGAGATCTGAGGATCGTGGTTTGAGACCAACCCTGGCAGAAAAGTCCATAAGATTCTTATTATCTCCAACTAAACCAGAAAAAAAAAAAAAAGCCCGAAGTGGAGCCTGTGGCTCAAGTGGTAGAGCACCGGCTTTGAGAGGGAAAATAAGAGTGTGAGGCCCTGAGTTCAAGCCCCAGCCCTGGCACATAAGATTAATTAATTAATAAGGTCTCCCCAGGGCCTGGGAGGGTGATCAGGAGGAGGCCTCGGTGGGTCAGAGGTGGGGCTTGGGGGTGAGGATGGGGGCAGAGCCTCACATGCCTGTACCCCCAGATGTGGGAGGGGGCCACCGTGCCCATCCCCCCCGAGGCCCTCAGGGGCACCGACAGCGACTCAGGGCCCGATGACCTGGTCTACACCATCGAGCAGCCCAGCAACGGCCGCGTGGCGCTGCGGGCGGCGCCGGGCGACGCGGTCCAGCACTTCACCCAGGCGCAGCTGGACGGCGGCCTGGTGCTGTTCTCACACACAGGTGGGTGCTGGGGCCCATGGCGGGGGGCAGGGGAGGACTGCAATGGGGGAGCCACCCGGGCCCCAGGAACCCAGCTCCGTTATGTCCTCAGGGGCCCTGGACGGAGGCTTCCGCTTCGCCCTGTCCGACGGCGCGCACGCGTCTCCTGGACACTTCTTCCGGGTGACCGCGCAGAAGCAGGTGCTCCTCTCGCTGGACGGCAGCCGGACACTGACCGTGTGCCCAGGTGCGGCCTTCACACTGAGCCCTGGGGTGGAGCCAAGGGGGGCTGCCACCACCCCCACCCCGCCCCGGCTCCCAGGACGGCCTGAGTGGTGGCTCACGCCTGTCATCCCAGCTACTCAGGAGGCTGAGATCTGAGGATGGCCATTTGAGGCCAGTCCAGGCGGCCAAGTCCATATGACTCTTATCGCCAGTGAACCACCAAAATGTCAGAAGTGGAGGTGTGGTTCGAGTGGTAGAGCGCCAAGCTTGAGCTGGGAGGGGGTAAGGGGGTGGCACCCAGGCCCTGAGTTCAAATCTCAGGTCCAACACAAAGGATAAAAAAATAGAACTGAACTGACCATCCCTCTGCCCCCCCCCCACAGAGTCCGTCCAGCCGCTGAGCAGCCAGAGCCTGCGGGCCAGCTCCAGCGCCGGCACGGAGCCCCAGCACCTGCAGTTTCGGGTGCTGCGGGGTCCCCAGCTTGGCCGGCTCCTCCGGCAGCAGGGCGGCTCTGCGGAGCCCCTGCTGAACTTCTCCCAGGCCGAGGTAAGGGCTCAACTCACAGACACAACCCAGACCCTCCGCCCCCCCCCCCACCATGCAGCATCAGCCTCCCTGGACCTGCTACAGTCCAGGCCCTGCCAGCCCTGACCCCCCAGGGCGGCCAGCAAAGGGGGGACACGTGGAGCTTGGCCAGATGGAGGGACTGGGGGCAGCGCTGTGGGACTCAGAGCAGCGCTCTTGTTCTGGGGCTTCGCCTCCAGAAGGGACCCGAAAAGGCTAGAAAGGAGCACGGGGGCGGGAAGCAGTGCCCCCCCCCCGAAGTTGGTGAGGACCAGGGCTCCTGTCCTGGGAGTCGGTGGGGCTCAGGGCAGCGGGGGCAGTGCTCGGTGGGACGGGAGGGGGGAGCTGAGCAGGCCAGGCGGGGAGGGCCTCGGGCAGCGGCCAAGCCAGAGCCACAGGTCAAACCTAGAGCTCCAGGGCTGGGAAAGTGGCTCAGTGGTAGAGCGCTTGCCTTGCATGCATGAGGCCCTGGGTTCGATTCCTCAGCACCACATAAGCAGGAAAAGCCAGAAGTGGCGCTGTGGTTCAAGTGGTAGAGCACTAGCCTTGAGCAAATGAAGCCCAGGGACAATGCCCAGGTCCTGAGTTCAAGTCCCAGGACTGGCAAAAACAAAAAACTAGAACTCCAGGCATTGGTGGCTCACACCTAGTCTTCCCAGCAAGTCAGGAGGCCGAGATCTGAGGATCACAGTTCAAAGCCAGCACAGGCAGGAAAGTCCGTGAGACTCTTCTCTCCAAGGAACCACCAAAAAGCTGGAAGAGGAACTGTGGCTCAAGTGGTAGAGCGCCAGCCTTGAGTACAAAAGCTCAGGGATAATGCACAGGCCCTGAGTTCAAGTCTCAGGACTGGCACAAAAAGAAAGGAAACTTCAACTCATGGACGTCCCAAAACTTTGTTCAGAGCAACTCATGGCGAGGCACGGGGGGGCGGGGCGGGGCACCAGGGCACCACCCTTCACCTGCGGACTCTGCTTTCTCTGAACAAGCCACCCAGGCACCCCCATCCTACCCACAGGAGCCCCAGGCCCACCACAGGGCTGTGTCCCCTTCCCGCCCTGCCACCAGCCCGGCCACAGCTCGCTGCTGGCAGTGTCTCCATCCTTGCTGGCCACATCTGGCCCACAGATGTGGGTGTTTGGCCACATACGGCATTTGATGCTTTAAAGTTAGTTGTCAACATAGAACCCTCGGGAGATTTCACAGGATCCCGCTTCCCGGGTGCCTGAAGGGGCTGCGTTCTTCTCCCACCCAGCAGCCGCCGCGGCCGCCTCGCTCAGAGCCCCACTCAGATTCTGCGTAAGGTTCTCTTTCTCTCCCCCCCCCCCCCCAAGTCCTGATGCATGAACTCAGGGCCTGGGCGCCATCCCTGAGCTTCTGTGAGCAAGGCTAGTTCTCTACCACTTGAGCCACAGCACCATTTCCAGCTTTTGGTGGTTCACTGGAGAGAAGAGTCTTGTGGATTTTCCTGCCCAGGCAGGCTTTGAACTGCAATCCTCACATCTCAGCCTCCTGAGTAGCCAGAATGACAGGTGAGCCACCAGAGGCCTGGCTGAAAGTCCTGTTTTGCTGAGAGAAGGAAAAAACAGTCCCCTTGTCAACGTTGTCTTCTTCTCCTCCTCCTCCTCCTCCTCCTCTTTTTCCTCCTCCTCCTCCTTCTCCTCCTTCTTCTCCTCCTCCTTCTTGCTGGTCCATGGGCTTGAACTCAGGGCCTGGGCACTGTCTCTGAGCTTCATTTGCTCAAGGTTAGCACTCTACCACTTAAGCCACAGCAACACTTCTGGCCTTTTCTGTGTATGTGGTACTGAGGAATGGAACCCAGGGCTTCATGCATGCTAGGCGAGCACTCTACCACTGAGCCACCTCCCCAGCACCTCTTGTCTTCTAAAAGGAAAGAATGACAGATAAACTATGGGGACACATTTTGATTAGACAAAGGAGACAGATTTCCTGATGGTTGAGGAGAGTTTCTTGGTGGTTGACAAAAAAAAAAAAAGGGCAGGCTTGGGAATGTGGCTCAGTGATAGAGTGCTTGCCTCGCATGCATGAGGCCCTGGGTTCCATTCCTCAGCACCACATACACAGAAAAAGCCAGAAAGTGGCACTGTGGCTCAAGTGGTAGAGCGCTAGCCTTGAGCAAAAGAAGCTCAGGGACAGTGCCCAGGCCCTGAGTTCAAGCCCCAGGTCTGTACGCGTGCACACACACACGCATGCACACGCACACACACGCACATGCACACACATGCATGCACATGCACATGCACACACGCATGCACACGCACATGCACACACATGCACATGCACACACGCACATGCATGCGCATGCACACATGCGCGCACACACATGCACATGCATACACGCACATGCATGCACATGCATGCACATGCACACACGCACACGCATGCACATGCACACACACATGCATGCACATGCACACACACGCACACACACATGCACATGCATACACGCACACGCATGCACATGCACACACACACACACACACATGCACATGCACACACGCACACGCATGCACATGCACACTCACGCACATGCATGCGCATGCACACACATGCACATGTGCACACGCACACACATGTGCATGCATGCACATGCACACACACGCATGCGCATGCACACACACGCACACGCATGCACATGCACACGCGCGCGCATGCACATGCACACACGCACACGCATGCACATGCATGCACATGCACACACGCACATGCATGCGCATGCACACACACGCACATGCACACACACGCCATGGTGTTTCCCGCAGGTCTACGCGGGGCATGTTCTGTACGAGCACCAGGCGTCCCCTGAGCCTTTCTGGGAAGCCCAGGACACCATAGAACTCGCGCTGTCCTCGCCGCCCGCCCCGGACGTGGCCGTGACCCTGGCTGTGACTGTGACCTTCCAGGCCGCCTGTCCCCAGCGTCCCAGCCGCCTTTGGAGAAACAAAGGTAAAGAACAGAGACACCATGGGGGGGGGACACAGAGGGACACTGAGACAAAGGACAGAAGCCACAGCCAGACCAGCCGCTCGGCTCAGCCCCACGACCTTGGGAATCCGGGGGACCGTGGCTGGGGAACGGCTTTGAGATCATGGTGGAGACTCAGAGGTATTTTTGTCCCAGGCCTGAGGCTTGAACTCTGGGCGCTGCCCCTGAGCTTTGTCGCTCGAGGCGAGCGCTCTGCCACCTTGAGCCACAGCTCCACTTCCAGTTTTCTGCGGGGTTCCTTGGAGATCAGAGCCTCATGGACTTTCCTGCCTAGGCTGGCTTTGAACTGCGATCCTCAGATCTCAGCCTCCCTAGTGGCTGGGATGACAGGTCGGGGTGACTGGTGTGGGGGTCCAGCCCTGGGGGCCCCCCATCCCCTCCCCTTCACTGCCTGTGTCACCCTCAGGTCTCTGGGTCCCCGAGGGCCAGCGAGCGGCCATCACCCCAGCCGCCCTGGACGCCGCCAACTTCCTGGCCAGCGTCCCCGCGTCCCAGCGGCCCCAGCACGACGTCCTGTTCCAGCTGACGCAGTTCCCCACGCGCGGCCAGCTGTGGGTATCCGGGGAGCCCCTCCACGCCGGGAGCCCCCACTTCCTGCAGTCCCAGCTGGCCGTGGGGCAGCTGGTGTATGCCCACGGCGGCGGGGGCACCCAGCCGGACAGCTTCCGCTTCCGTGCCCAGCTCCGGGGTCCAGCGGGGGTCTCGGCCACGGCACCCCACACCTCCGAGGCCTTCGCCATCACCGTCCGCGATGTGAACGAACGGCCACCCCAGCCCCAGGCCTCCGCCCCGCTCCGCCTCACCCGCGGCTCCCGAGCCCCCATCTCTAGAGCTCAGCTGAGCGTGGTGGATCCCGACTCCGCCCCGGAGGAGATCGAATACGAGGTGCAGCGGGCACCCCACAACGGCTTCCTGAGCCTGGCGGGGGGCAGCCCGGGGCCCGTGGCCCGCTTCACACAGGCCGACGTGGACGGAGGCCGCCTGGCTTTCGTGGCCAACGGGAGCAGCGTGGCGGGGGTCCTGGAGCTGAGCGTGAGCGACGGGGCCAGCCCCCCACTGCCCATGTCCCTGGCTGTGGAGGTCTTGCCATCCACCCTCGAGGTGCAGACCCGAGCACCCCTGGAGGTGCCCCAAGCATCGGGGCGCTCTCCTCTGAGCCAGCAACAGCTGCAGGTGTTCTCTGACCGGCCCGAGCCGGACGTGGCGTACCGCGTGACCCAGGGACCCCGGCACGGGCAGCTGCTGGTCGGGGGGCGGCCCGCCTCGGCCTTCAGCCAGCTCCAGGTGGACCGGGGGGAGGTGATCTTTACCTTCACCAACTTCTCCTCGCCCCACGATCGCTTCGGGGTCCTGGCGCTGGCCAGGGGTGCCAACGCCACGGCCACCGTCAATGTCACGGTGCGCGCTCTCCTGCGCGTGTGGCCCGGTGGCCCGTGGCCCCAGGGTGCCACCTTGCGTCTGGACCGCAGCGTGCTGGATGCCGGCGAGCTGGCCAACGTCACTGGCACTGTCCCCCATTTCCGGCTCCTCCAGGGGCCCCGACACGGTCGCCTGGTCCCCACGAGCCAGGCCCGGACAGAATCCAGAAACAGCCAGCTGGTGGAAGGCTTCACTCAGCGAGATCTGGAGGCCGGGAGGCTGGGCCTGGAGGTGGACCGGCCCGAGGGCCCTCCCGGCCCGGTCGCTGACCGCCTCACCCTGGAGCTGTGGGCGCCCGGCGTCCCTCCGGCCGTGGCCTCCGTGGATTTCATCACCGAGCCTTACGACGCAGCGCGCTCGTACGGCGTGGCCCTGCTCCGTGTCCCCGACGTGGTGAGGACGGGCAAGCCGGAGGGGAGCAGCCCCACCGGGCAGCCAGGCCCCGCGGCGGCCAGCCCCGGGCCCACCGCGGCCAGGGGCGGCTTCCTGGGGTTCCTGGAGGCCAATATGTTCAGCATCATCATCCCCGTGTGCCTCGTGCTGCTGCTCCTGGCGCTCATCCTGCCGCTGCTCTTCTACCTGCGCAAGCGCAACAAGACCGGCAAGCACCACGTGCAGGTGCTGACCGCCAAGCCGCGCAACGGCTTCGCCGGCGACACCGAGACCTTCCGCAAGGTGGAGCCCGGCCAGGCGATCCCCCTCACCGCCGTGCCCGGCCAAGGCCCCCCACCCGGGGGACAGCCCGACCCCGAACTGCTCCAGTTCTGCCGGACACCCAACCCTGCCCTCAGGAATGGCCAGTACTGGGTGTGAGGCCCGATCGGGGATCCACATGCTGCCCGCACCCCCCGAGAAAACACAGAAGAGGCCCAGGGGTGCCAGGAGCAGAGGAGAGAAGCGTGGGAAGGGGGGGTTCCTGGATAGAGTGGAGACACTCTTGGGACGCCCCCCCACACACACACTCACCCAGAGCTGGAGAAATGAGGGACCAAAGCAGGGGGCGGGCTTAACCTGAGCATCTTCCCTGGGTGCTGCCCAGGGCTGTCAAAACTGGGGGGGAAGCCTCTGGTCCTGGGTGTGAGGCCGGGGGTCAGTGACACCTCACCTGGACTCAGAGGACACGGAGAAGACCCCAGAGAGGGGGGCAGCAAGAGGGGGGAAATGGGCCCCGGCTTCAGCACCCCAACCCACGTTGCCCCTTGTCCACCCTCCAGGTGGAGGGGAAACCTCTCCCCTCCTCTCTGGTGTTTTGGGGAGCAGAGGAAGGGAAGGCCTAAGCCATAGAATAATATATTTGGGATCCGGGAGTGGGTTGGGGGACGGGAACTCTGGGGGTGATTTATTTAAAGGAGATTCTAGCCAGGCATGGGTGGTACACGCCTGTCATCCTAGCTACTCAGGAGGCTGAGATCTGAGGATCGCGGTTCAAAGCCAGCCCAGGAAGGGAAGTCTGTGAGACTCTTATCGCCAATGAACTACCAGAAAAGCCAGAAGTGAAGGTGTGCAAACTAGCTCAGAAACAGTGCTCAGGCCCTGAGTTCAAGCCCCAGGACCAATACACAAACTGAGAGGGAGAAGGAGAGGGAGGGAGGGAGAGATTATAAACTGGGCACCAGTGGCTCATGCCTGTAATCCTAGCTACTCAGGAGGCTGCAATCTGAGGATCATGGTTCAAAGCCAGCCCAGGAAGGAGTCCATGAGACTCTTATCTCCAATGAACCAGCAGAAAAACCAGAAGTGGGGCTGTGGTCCAAGTGATAGAGCGCTCGCCTTGAGCCAAAGAGCTCAGGGACTGAGTTCGAGCCTCACAAGCAACAACAACAGAAAGACTATAAAGAAGCTATCCCACATGGCGCTGAGCTGGACTAGCTGGGTCCCAGGATGATGGTTGCTCCCGGGTTGGAATGGAGAAGAGGCTGAAGAGAATTCATTCCCAGCCTCCCCCACCCCCATGGGATGAGAGCTGACCTAACTTTGGGGTGAAGACTGGGCTGGAAACGTGGAGGGTCTCAGGTGCACCCCGGGGACTGGGGAGCAGCCACCACAGAATATGGATAAAAGGTGCTTTGGAGATTTTGGAAGCTCTGTGTCATTTGTGTTTGGCTCTGCCCTAGGGCCTGTGCAGACAAGGCCTGGGGAAGTCTCTGGCCTTGAGCTGAAGAGCTGAGGGACAGCGCCCAGGCCCTGAGTTCAAGCCCCACGACTGACAAAAACAAAAACTGTTCCCAACTCTAGATTTCTGAGCTTTTTTTCTTTTTCTGGTCCTGAGCTTGAACTCAGGGCCTGGGTGCTGTCCCTAAGCTTTTTCAGCTTGAGCTAGTGCTCTACCACTTGAGCCACAGCTCCACATCCAGCTTCCCCCCCCCCCTTTTGTGATTAATTGGTGATAGTCTCCTGGAGCTGGGTAGCAGTGGCTCACACCTGTAACCCTAGCTACTCTGGAGTCTGAAATCTGAGGATCATGGTTCAAAGCCAGCCTAGACAGGAAAATCTGTGAGACTCTTATCTCTAATGAACCTCCAGAAAACCAAAAGTGGTGCTGTGGCTCAAGTGGTAGAGCGCTAGCCTGAGCAAAAGAACTCAGGGACAGCGCTCAGGCCTTGAGTTCAAGCCCCAGGACTAGCATCAAAAAAAAAAAAGGTTCTGAGTTCGAGTCCCACAACCAATAACAACCAAAAAAAAGCTAAGCTCAGGGACAGTGCCTACCTGTGGGTTTGGAGGTGACCCTGACTCCCAGTCCATGATGTCCTGGCCTCTGGCATCCTCCCACTGTGGAGATCTGGGCAAGGGTGGCCTCCCCCACCCCAATCCTCCTCCCAGCCCCTCCCAGGGCCTTGGGGGGGGGGAGGGGGCTGGGTCCTCAGGGCCTTCACAGCTCTGGGGACACAACCAGCCCGCCTGGAAGTAAGTGTAAAGGGGGGATGGTGAGCCGCCCTGCAGGACCTGGGGCCAGCTCTGCTCTCCCCTCACCCTGCCCCAGTGCGGCCCCAGGGCCTGGCATTGTACCACAGCCCAGCCCGGACCCGGGAAAGGGTGTCTCACTGTGCACCTACATGTGAGGCCCGGCCATGCGGACCTCCACCCCACCCAAAGCGCGTGAGTGTTGTTCAGCAAATTAATTCTCCTCCGGGCACTTCAGGAACTCCAGCACATCCTGTGTGTGTGTGTGTGTGTGTGTGTGTGTGAACACAACTTTTCCCTACGCAGCACAGAAATCAGCATCAGCCTACTGCCGGGCACTGGTGCTCACGTCTATAATCCTACCTTCTGGATCTGAGAATCTTCCATTTTGGATCTTAAAGGGGCAGAACCTCTCTGTCACCCCCCCACACACACACCCAGGGCAGAGTTTCACTGGTTGGGTCTCCCATTCTTGGCCACCCATGAAGAGCGAGGCTGGGCTGATGAGAGGCTCTTGGCCGGTGGACCAGGCCCTCTAGACCACCGCCCCACCCCCACCATGAGCACTGGCATGGGATTTTGTTATACAAATTTGGTGGGAGATGTGAATAGGAATCCACCCAGCAGCCAGGTACCATAGCTCACGGCTGTAATCCCAGCTACTCAGGAAGCTGAAATCTGAGGACAGTGGTTCAAAACTAGCCGGATAAGAAAGCCTTCAAGAGGTCTGGGAAGGTGGCTCAGTGGTAGAGCGCTTGCCTTGCATGCCTGAGGCCCTGGGTTCGATTCCCAGTACCACATAAGCAAAAAGAAAAAAAAAGCCGGAAGTGGCCCTGTGGCTCAAGTGGTAGAGCGCTAGCCTTGAGCTGAAGAGCTGAGGGACAGTGCCCAGGCCCAGAGTTCAGGCCCCATGACTGGACCCCCCCCAAAAAAAAAGAAAGTCTTCAAGACTCTTATCTGCAAGTAAGTACCAAAAAGCCAGAAGTGGAGGTGTGGTTCAAGCAGTAGAATACCAGCCTTCAGCAGAAAAGCTCAGAGACAGCGTCCAGGCCCTGAGTTCAAACCCTAGGACACAGGCACACACACACACACACACACACACACACACACACACACCAGATTTATCAACACATCGCTTTGTTGTTGTTATTGTCAGCAGTGGCGTTTGTTTTTGCTTTTGTTTTGTTTTTCTTTTTAGGGGGACAAAGGGAGGGAGGCAGAAAGGGAGGGAGGAAGAGTGAGCAAATGCAAGCAGCTCATCTCTTGGCTGACGTCTGTCCAGCACCCAGAGAGAGACATCTGGGCAGAGGCCATGGGTGCCAGGCACTGAGCAGGGCAGTGACTTTGAAAAGCCAGAGTACCATGAAGGACCCCGCCATGGCTAGTGGCTGGAGGGCGGTGGGCAAGGCTGGTGGGCGGGCCCTGGCCCCTCCTGTGAGCCAATCACTGTGGCTGGAGAGCCCCTCCTCACTCAGCCCTGCAGACAGAGGCTGTGGGCGTGCCATGGGGGGGGGGGCTAAGAGCGAGGAGGCGTGGAACATTACAAGACAGAAACCACGGGTGGACGGGGAGGGCAGGCGAGGCCACAGCCCCCAGGAAAGCACACACGTCCACCCTCCTAACCCTGGAGAACAGAGCCAGACCTGGGGAGCGGGTGCCCACACTTCCTGCCTCCCTTTCTGCCCCCGTCTTCTCTCCCAATCCGGCGTCTCCTGTGTTACCCTGGTTATTTTTGCTTTTGCTTGTGGGTTTGTTGTGTTTTGTGGGTGTTTTGGGTTTTTTTTTTTTTTTTTTTGTCTTTTTGTGTCAGTCCTGGGTTTGAATTCAACTCAGGGCCTAAGAAATGTCCTGGAGCTTTCTTTGCTCAAGGCTGGGGCTCGACCACTTGAGCCACAGCTTTTTTTTTTTTTTTTGGTGGTTCATGGAATAAGAGTCTCACGGACTTTCCTGCCTAGGCTGGCTTTAAACTGCGATCCTCAGATCTCAGCCTCCCGAGTAGCTGGGATGACAGGCGGGGGCCACTGGCTCCTGGCCTGCTGGACTTCAGTGCCCAGGGACAGGAGGCCAATGCTGCAGTTAGAACAACATGAGAGCTGGTGGCCAGGAACGAAGGGGGGGGGACAAGGGGGGGAAGAAGGGGGAGGGGAGGAGCCTCCAGAGGGCCAGGCCGGCCAGTACACAGCCCCCTCCCTCCCCGCTCCCGCCTGGCTGAGGAAGAGGGAAATTCTCCCTGTGTGAGTCACGGAATCCTGGGCCATGACGCCAGGAAGGAAGTGTGCAACCAGTATGCAAGTGCGCATGCGCCTGCACCTACACGCTCCCCACCACCACATAGCCTACACGTGCACACGCACACACACACACACACACACACACACACACACACACACACACACCGGGAGCCATTCAGACATCCACAGGCACCTGCTATGAGCCAAACACCAGCCCAGACAGGCAAGTACAAGAGACTCTGATCTCCCATTAACCAGCAAAAAGCCAGAAGTGGAACTGTGGTTCAAGTGGTAGAGAGCCAGCCTTGAGTGCAAAAGCTAAGGAACAGTGCCCAGACCCTGAGCTCAAGCCCCAGGACTGGCACACATGTACATACACACGCACATGCATGCACACACACACACACACACAAAGAAAATTATCACTCAGCAAATATTTGCCCAGTGCTATTTGCAAGCCGAAGGCACAGCCTTCTCCACCCAATGCCTGCTTCCAGCTCCCCCCTCCCCTCTGTCCCCCACCCCTGCCTTCCCCTCGGCTCCCAGCACCCCTCCATTCCCTCCGCGGCAGGGCGAGGCCGCAGCCCTGTCCCTGGGAAGGTAGGAGAGGGAAGGTGGGCAGGATTCACACTTGGCTCATCGAGGGAAGGGAAAGGAGCCAGGCAGACATGGCCTGAGCCGCCCAGGGCGGCCACCCAACCTGGAACCAGTGACTCAGTGCCCCTGGGCCACCGTCTGTCTGCTGGGGCATGTTGGCAGACATCGTGGGCAGCGAGAGAATTCACCCACGGCCCGCACTGAGCCCAAGTCCCGGCACAGACTCAAGGGCGGTGTGGCCTCGAGCCCACCTGGCCTGGCTTCCAGGAGGAAGTGACGAAGCTCACTCCCCTGAACTTGAACTTGTGGCCCTTTGCCAGCAGGGTCGCCCTTGCTGGAGTGATGTTGGGGACACTGAGGCTGAGAGGAGTGACCTTGCCCGTGATCAGCCCAGGAATCCATCCATCTATGGAAGCCAGTGAGCCTGGCCGTGAACTTTTGGGCGGTGTTGTCCTAGGTACGCTGATGGATGTAGCTCCTCAGGAGGCTGAGATCTGAGAACCATGGTTCAAAGCTCACCAGTGGCCTCATGGACTCTTTTTCCCAGGCCAGCCAGGAGGCCCCAAGGAGACAGATCACCATGGAGACAGGGCAGTGACATGGGCCAAGGCCCTAAGTCTAGGGTGGCGGAAAAAGTGTTTCCAGGCCCAGACCTGCCTGCTACCATCTGTGGCCTTCCAGACCTGGCCCAACCTCTTTTCTCACTGTGAAAGCAGGGTGCCGGGGATCTTGGCTATGCCCAAGGCTGGAAACCCAACCCTTCTTTGTAGAACCCTTGCTGCGTAAGTGCTACCCAGCTCTGCCCATGTTATCCTCCTACCTGGAACGCCGTGGCATAAATACAAACACAGACTTCAGGAACAAGGCAGGAGCCAGGGGCACACGCCTGTCATCCCAGCTACTCAGGAGGCTGAGATCGGAGGATGGCAGTTTGAAGCCAGCCCAGGCAGGAATGTCCATGAGACTTATCTCCAATTAATTGCCAGAAAGCTGGATGTAGCTGCAGTGGTATAGTGCGCACCTGGAAGAAAACAGCTAAGGGGTAGCACCTAGGCCCTGAGTTCAAGTTGTAGTACTGGTATGAGGAAAAGGAGAAGGAGGAGGAAAAGCAGAAAAAGAAGGGAGGAGGAGGAGGAAAAGAAGATGCGGGCCAGAGCTGGCGTGCAGATCAAGTTGGCCACAGCTATGCAAGACATTGCTTTTGAAACAGATTTGGATTACACTGGCGTTTTGACTCAAAAAAAAAAAAACGGTTTGTGTTCAAGTCTGTTGAATTCTGGGGCTAGATTTCACAATCCGCCTTTCTGAGCTCTGTCTGGGGGAGGCAAATTCTGATCTCCTGTCCACGACCGTCCTGCCAGGGCTGCCCTTTCCCCGCGAAGGGCAGAGTGAGGAGCAGAGCCCAGTGATGGGGACAGGCTGGGCGCGTGTGGGCTGGGTGGGGGAAACTTCCTGGGCTAGGCTGGAGCCAGCCTGAGTCAGCGGGCGGGCGGGCGGGCAGGGCAGGTCCAGTCCCCACATGCTCAGGGAGGAAGGACATGATGCTGGAATGTTCCTCAGGGCCCAGATCCAGGCCCTGCCCACCGCATTCTGACTCCTGATCTCACGGCCACTGGGGTTCAACTCCAAGGGCAAAGACAGGAAATCCCTAGGGCTTGGAGATGGGCCCATAGTGGGCAAAGTGAGCACCTTAGTGAGCTCTGGGGCTCTGGCCCTGGCTGGGCGGCCAGGTACAACCAACCAACACCAGCCTGTAATGCCCAGGAGTGAAGAAGCCGAGTGCTGGTAGTTCACGCCTGTAATCCCAGCTACTCAAGAGGCTGAGACCTAAGGATGAGTTTAAAGCCAGCCTGGGCAGGAAAAGTCTGTGACTCTTATCTCTAATGAACCACCAAAAAGCTAGAAATGGAGCTGTGCCTCAAGTGGTAGAGCACCAGCCTTGAGTGGAAAACTCTACGGACAGAGCGCAGGCCCTGAGTTCAAGCCCCAGGATTGACACCAAAAACAATTTTAAAAAGGAGTTGAGCCAGACACCGGTGGCTCATGCCTGTCATCCTAGCTACTCAGGAGGCTGAGATCTGAGGATCGTGGTTCAAAGCCAGCTGAAGCCCGAAAGTCTGTGTGATCCTTATCTCCAGCAAAAAGCTGGAAGTGAAGCCATGGCTCAAGTAGTAGAGCACCAGCCTTGAGCAAAAAAATAAGAAAAGAAGGTAAGGGACAGCCAGTGCTTTGGTCCTGAGTTCAAGTGCCAGTACTGGTACACTGGCACACACACACACACATACACACACACACACAGGACCATACCTGCAAGCACGGGAATGAGTGGATGACTCTGTCACAGGATTTCCAGAGCCGCCGCCCGGGTCCCCCCAGGCCTGGCCGGGTTATACCCGATGGCAAAGCGGAGCCGCCAGGTTCACACCCTCCTGCATGCAGGATCTGAGCTACACCTCTCTTCCCAGATCTGACATGAGGCCACCACACAGTCTCCTTCTCCAGGGCTGGGCCAAGACCAGGGTTGAGGGTCCCCCCACCTCCCCCCAGGTCCTGGTAGCTGCCTGGGACAGAAAGAAAGGCCTTGTTTTCCAGCCCCCTCCGAACAAACTGAGGGGGGAAGCTGGAGACAGCTGGGCCCAGCTCAGCCTGGAACATCTGCCCAGCATGTGACCGAGACCGCACGGCTCCCCAGTGCCCCCCGCTCGGAGGGAGCCCCACATCCTCACACAGCAATCAGAAACACCGTATTCCCACATAGAACTGCCCTCACTCAGAGACCTCCGGAGGCTTCCAGAGGCAAAAGTCTTTACACTCTGGGCTGGTGGCTCACGCCTGTAATCCCAGCTACTGGGGAAGCTGAGATCTGAGGATGGTGGTTTGAAGCCAGCCCAGGCAGGAAAGTCCGGGAGACTCTTATCTCCAATAAATCACCAGAAAACCAGAAGTGGCGCTGTGGCTCAAGTGGTAGAGCGCTCGCCTTGAACTGAAGAGCTGAGGGACAGCGCCCAGGCCCAGAGTTCAAGCCCCATAACCGACAAAAAATAAATAAAGCAGAGCCAAGAACACAGGCTCTGAGTTCAAGCGTCAGTACTGACACCATTAAAAAAAAAAAAAAAAGCAGGGTAGGGGGAATATTCTAGATTGCCTCAGCCCAGCCCTGTGCTTCTGCAGAAGGCTACAAGAAGGTCAAAGGCAAGAAGAGGTTAAGGGGCGTGGAGCTCCTTGAACGGTTTGGAAAATAAAGGCAGGCAGGGAGGGGAAAAATATTTCCTCTGAAAGTCCCAAATCTGACCTAATTTTGACCCAGAGCCAGAGGAATTCATTCCAGAAGTTTCTCTGAGGACATTTTGCCTGGACCAGGAGTGGGGCTCGACACGGGCCTCTTCCTCACCCCGTCACGTACCATCCCTGCCCCCGCCCCAGACCCCAACCCCACGTCCGAGACCCACACAACACAGACATAAACCAGGCTTTGTTGGTGATCATAATTGTAAAAGGCTTTATCAAGAATAGAAGAGAGAAGAGATTGGGACAGCATCGAGGAGCAGACCTGACCTCACAGGGCACAGAGGTGAAAGGTCAATCCCCTGGAAGGCAGAAATCCCTCAGGACGTAAACATAGGTAAGAGGCTGGCAGCTGCCCAGGGCAGAGCCTGCCTCTCAGTAAGGCTGGCAGAGGGCAGGGGGCCCCCACGGCCCCCCACTTTCTCTCCTTAGTTTTCTCACTGTGCAATAGGAAAGAGTGTGAAGACTGAAGACTGGACTTACAGAGATCCCTGCTAGGCTGGGTTTGCTTGGAGAATGTGCAGAAAACCTCAGCCTGCTCCCCTCAGTAATCTGGCCATTTTTAGGAGGGCTCATCTTAGCACCTTGAATCCAGAAAGAGATGCCGCAGAATCCCCCAGCCAAGCCGGGCACCGGTGAGCATGCCTGTCATCTCAGCGACTCAGGAAGCTGAGATCTGAGGATCAAGGTTCGAAGCCAGATGGGGCAGGAAAATCCATGAGACTCTTATCTCCAAGCAACCACCAGAAAACTGGAAGTGGTGCTGTGGTTCAACTTGGTAAAGCACTAGCCTTGAGCAAAAAAAAAAAAAAAAAGCACAGGGACAGCACCCAGGCCCTGAGTTCAAGCCCCAGGACCATCATCAACAACAACAAAATCTCCTAGCCAAATCAAGAAAAGGTGGGGCTCAGCAGTGAAGACCAAAAGAGGAGGTGACCAGCAGCCCCCCTTGTAGGGGACAGAGTAAAGGTAGAAAAAGCCAAGACACAGGAGCCAAAGATGGGCCCTTCCTTCTGCCATTACAGGCCAGAATCCCCCCAGAGGGAGTCTTAAAGGGATCTGGGAAAGTTAATGGAGGAAACAGATGCGTGGCTCAGTTGGTAGAGAACTAGCCAATGAGCAAATGCGTCAGGTACTGAGTTCGAATCCTGGTCTCTGACCAAAAAAGAAAAGAAAAGAAAGGTAAAGCAGAGCCTTCTCCTCATTCACTGTCCAGCGGAGTCCCTGTCATTCTCCAAGACCCTGCTGGAATGTCCCCCATTCCCTGGAGGCGATCCCGTCCTGCAGAAGGTCTGCAGCATGTGCATTTCTTTGGGTGCCCCCCTGTGTGACACTGCCCCCTGCTTGGGATGGGGACTCCTGCAGGACCAGCCCCATCCCGGCCTGGATGCCTGGCATGTGGTCCCCAGAGCCACAGCGGGCCGCAGTGTCCAGGAAAGAACAGGGAAGTGGGTGGGCGCCGAATGAGCATCTCGGGGAGAGGGGAAGAGGCCCGGCCCATGTGACTGACCAGCAGCCTGGGCTTTGGCCTGGAGGAGCCTGGACCCGTCATGGTAGGCGGGACTTCCCTAGGGGCGACCCGGGACTCCTCCAGTGACCCTTCTGTCAGGAGGTAAGGAGGCCCCGGGCCTCGTCCATGCTGGAGCCTCCTGGCTAGATAGAATGGGGTGGACGGCAGTGACGGGGCCTGGGGAGGGGAGCCCTCCCCCAGTCAGAGGTGGTCGTACATGCGCAGGGTCTTCTCCAGCTGCTGGCCCACTTGCTGGTAGAAGAGGATCTGCTGGCGCAGGTAACTCTGCATCATGTGCTTGAAGTCAAGTTCCCGGCGCTGGTGGAAATGGTTCATCTCGGCCTGCAGGGCAAAGCCCACCACCCGGCAACGCCGGCGGATGCCATCCGCCTCGTCCTGGGCCATGCGGCCCTCATCGCTCATGCGCTGGCTTTCCTTGACCTTGGCGAAGGCACCTGGGAGGGCGGGGGGAGGGGGGGTAGGGCAGGGCAGAGAGGAGGGAGGGCAGGCAGCTTAGGGCTGAGGTCTGACCTAGACCCCCTTCAAGGGCAGGAGAACCCTCCCGCAGCCTGGTTCGGACCTCTCCCTTGAAGGCCACCCTTGGGGTCCCCCACTCTGTACCCTGTACAGAACAGATTATCACTCCCTCCAATCCTGGAGCCCTGACAGCTGCTGGCAACCACATTCCTGCTGTGTGTGCGTGTGCGCGCACATGTGTGTGTGTGTGTGTGTGTGTGTGTAAAATTGGGGCTTGAACTCAGGACCTAGGCACTGTCCTTTTAGCTCTTTCTATTCAAGACTGGTATTCTACCACTTGAGCCACAGCTCCACTTCTGGCTTTTTTTTTGCTAGTTATTTGGACACAAGAGTTGCATGGACTTTTCTGCTCCAGCGGGCTTCAAACTCAGATCCTCAGATCTCAGCCTCCCGAGTAGCTAGAGTGACAGGCCTGAGCTTCCGGTGACTGGCTACTGCTAGATTTGTTTTGGTTTTCTTTTCTCTTTTTCTGTGCCGGGTTTTGGGACTTGAAGTAAGGCCTGTGTGCTCTTGAGCTTTTTTGGATCAAGACTAGCACTCTATCACTTGAGCTCTATTTCTGGCTTTTGGTGATTTATAAGAGTCTCACAGGGCTGGGAAGGTGGCTTAGTGGTAAAGCGCTTGCCTAGCATGCATGAAGCCCTGGGTTTGGTTCCTCAGTACCCCATAAATAGAGAAAGCCAGAAGTGGTGCTGTGGCTCAAGTGTAGAGTGCTAGCCTTGAGCAAAAGAAGTTCAGGGGCAGTGCCCAAGCCCTGAGTTCAAGCCGCAGGATTGGCCAAAAAAAAAAAAAAAAAGTCTCATGGACTTTCCTGCCTGGGCTGGGTTTGAATTGAGATCCTCAGATCTCAGCTTCCTAAGTAGCTGGGATGACAGGTGTGAGCCAACAGTGCCTGGCATCTTAGAAGGTCTCTTTCCTTTTTTTTTTTGTCGGTCGTGGACGTGAACTCTGGGGCTAGGCGCCTGCCCCCATGAACTGTCCTCCCTGACTCCCTTAGCTCCTATCAGACCTCGATCTACCTGATGGGCTCAGGCTCCTGGCTCACCTTTGGGCTGCCAGGAAAATCTCTCCACCCTGGCTCAGTCTGTCTGTCCTGCGTGGTACCCAAAGACGCCCCTCCAGCTGGGTGCCCTAACTGGCACCCCCTGTAAACCAAGATCCACACCCATTCCCCTGGTCCGGGAGGCCTTAGGGAATTGGCCCCCATTCCTTGTTCACCAAACCCTTTTAGATCTTTCCTACTGTACCTCTCCGCCCACAGGATGCCTTATTCATAATTCAAGACCCAGCTCGGGTGTCACTTCTATACAATGGCAGAGCCTTTTCCCTTGGTACCTTTGGGGAGATGCCTGAACCCCCCCCCATTCTAGACTACCTGTCCTGTCTCCTTCACATGCAAGCCCAGCCCACTCTACACCCCAGGTCCCTTGGGGAGACGAGGAGAGGGTGGTAATCACCAGATGACAAAGTGCGGCAGAAGGGGAATACACGTGGGCAGGAGATCCAATGTGGAAAAAGCGGAATGAATCCACTAGCAGCTGGTTAATGAAATTCTGTTCTGAATTAAAACATTTGCCTTGAAGCCAATGCAGGAGGCTGGGGGCGGGGGGGGCGGTATTTGTTTCTGGTTCTTTCTCTTGGAGGGGCAACAGGACATCTCCAAGGCAAAGAGGAAGGAGGTAGGGAGGGTTTGTGAGGACAGAAAATGCTCTCGGCACTTCCAAAGCCTTCCCAATCCAGGGGCAATGGGGCACCCCTGTAGCTTCTTTTGCTCAAGGCTAGCGCTCTACCACTGGAGCCACAGCTCTACTTCTGGCTTTTTCTGAGTGGCTCATTGTAGAGAAGGGTCTCAAAGACTTTCCTGCCCCAGCTAGCTTTGTGATCATCAAATTTCAGATTCCAGAGTAGCTAAGATTACAGGTGTCAGCCACCTGTACCCTGACTTTAATTTTTTTTTTTTTTGGTCGGTTGTGGGGCTTGAACTCTGGGCCTGGGTGCTATTCCTCAGCTCTTCAGCTCAAGGCTAGCGCTCTATCACTTGAGCCACAGCGCCACTTCTGGTTTTCTGAGTGGTTTATTGGAGATAAGAGACTCATGGACTTTCCTGCCTGGGATGGCTTTGAACCACGATCCTCAGATCTCAGCCTCCTGAGTAGCTAAGGATTACAGGCGCAAGCCACCAGCTCTCGGTGGATCTTGCACTTTAAGGAAAAAAAAACAAAAAACATTTTAAGCCGGGTGCTGGTGGCTCACGCCTATAATCCTAGCTATTCAGGAGGCTGAGATCTGAGGATGGCAGTTCAAAGCCAGCCCAGGCAGGAAAGTCTATGAGACTCTCATCTCCAATTAACCATCAGAAAACTGTAAGTGGAGCTGTGTCTCAAGTGACAAAGTGCTAGCTTGAAAAAGCTCAGCAACAGCCCTCAGGCCCTGAGTTCAAGCCCCAGTATTGACAAAGAAGAAAAAAAAAAACTCACAGAGACTGAATGCACCCACCTCTGGGCACAAGCTGGCCTCCACCTGGCCTACGCTGCCTTGGCCAAGCTTCTACCCCATGGCCACTCTGAAGATACTCTGTGGTCTTGGGCCTGGCTCTGGTGCACCCAGGATGGTAGCTGGGGGTGGTGCTCCAGCTCTCAGCCCAGGTCTCCTTGGAGCTTCCTCCCTTGTGCTCCAGCTGCCCATCCCCAGGGGAGCTCCATCCTCCAGCTGGCTGGAAACAGCCTGGCTGGCGAGTCAGAGCTCCTGGGCGCCAGCTGGGCTCTGCTATCCAGTTATCTCTGTGTTCTTCTGTGTGATAAGGGACAGCATCAGTGCCAGGCTGCGCTGGGCTCAGGGCCCACTCCTGTCCCATGCTGGCTCTTGGTGGCACAGATCCTGCCTTGTCCCAGAGCCTTGTTTTCTCAGGATAATATGTGTGTGTGTGTGTGTGTGTGTGTGTGTGTGTGTGAGAGAGAGAGAGAGAGAGAGAGAGAGAGAGAGGAAGGGGGGAGGGAAGGAAGGTGGTGGGAGAGAGAGAGAGAAACAGACAGACAGACACTAGGGCTTGAACTCAGGGCTTTGAGCTTTTGCTTGGCTTTTTCACTCAAGGCTAACGCTCGACCCCCATAAGCCACACCTCCACTCCAGCTTTTTGCTGGCCCATTGGAGATGAATCATGAACTAAGCCAGGCACTGGTGACTCATGCCTGTCATCTAGCTGCTCAGGAAGCTGAGACCTGAGGATCATGGTTCAAAGCCAGCCCAGGCAGAAAAGTCCATGAGACTCTCATCTCCAATTAACCACCAGAAAGCTGGAAGTGGAGCTGTGGCTCAAGTGGTAGAGCGCTAGCCTTGAGCTGAAGAGCTGAGGGACAGTGCCCAGGCCCAGAGTTCAAGCCCCATGACCACAAAAATAAAAAAAAAATGAGTCATGGACTTTTCTTCCTGAGCTGGCTTTGAACTTCAATCCTCAGAACTCTCAGCCTCCTGAGCAGCTAGGATGACAGGCGTGAGCTAATACTGCCTAGCTTTCAGGATAAACTATTTACTAGGGTCCCTTTTCATCCCCCAAATACCCCCAGTTAAGAAGTTAATTATTAGTTATTGCTCCTCTAAGGGACCCCTGAATTGGGATCCAGGGGCTGGGCCAGTGGGCAGAGCAGGCTGGTAGCCTTATCTTAGCATCAATCAGACTCCACATCTCAGTTTACCAACGTGGAGACTGAGGAGAAAAACTTACCAAGGGCCAAAGCACCAGTGGCTCACATCTGTCATCCTAGCTACTCAGGAGGCTGAGATCTGAAGATCAAGGTTCAAAGCCAGCCTGGGCAGGAAAGTCCATGAGACTCTTATCTCCAATGAAAACCAGAAGTGAAGCTGTGGCTCAAGTGGTGGAGTGCTAGCCTTGAGCACAAAAGCCCAGGGACGATGCCCAGGTCCAGAGTTCAAGCCCCAGGACGAGCAAAACAAAACGAAACAGAGGTCAGCCAGGTTTCATTCCCTCTGGGAGCCACAGGCATGGGGCTGCCCTACTGCCCCAGCACAGACAGCTGTTTACTGACGATGCCCAGCCTCTCGCTGCCCACACAGGAACACACCAGCCAAGGAGCTGGTTGAACCAGCTTTCCCAGGCCCAGCACGCTGGCCCCCTTCCCCCACCAGCCAGGTCTAATGTGTCCTACATTCCCAGGAGCTCCGCCTCTGAAGGCTACAGCTCCCAGGCTGCCTTCTCCTGTTTCACTGATAGGAAACGAGGCCCAAAGAGGAAAAAGCACTTCCCAGGGGCACAAGCTAACTAGAACTCGGGACTTGTATCTCCTAGAGCTGAAAGAAGGGAGGAAGGTACGGAGGGAGGGAAAGAAGCAGGAGGAGAAAGCAGGCTAGGAGCAGAAGAGAGAGAGAGAGAAAGAGACAGAGACAGAGAGAGACAGAATATGTCAGTACTAGGGCTTGAACTCAGGGCCTAGGCACTGTCCCTTAGCTTTATCCCTCAAAGCTAATAATGCTCTACCACTTGAGCTATTACCTCCACCTCTGGCTTTTTTTCAGGTTAACTGGAGATTTAACAGTGTCAAGGACTTCGCTGCCCGGGCTGGCTTTGAACTTCGATCCTCAGGTCTCAGCCTCCGGAGTAGCTAGGATGACAGGCATGAGCCACAGGTGCCTAGAAGTTTTGGCAGTCACCGCTTGGTGAGAATGGCAGCCTGCTCACTCTGACTGCTGGGGTTTACGGGCATGAAAAGTGTTGGCAAGACCAGAGGGAGGGCCCAGGGCCCCACCCAGATAAAAACTCCCCACTAAGCCAGGCCTGACCTCAGGGCCTTAGGGCCTGGGAAACCAGCCCCAGCGCCCTGCAAACCAAGTTACCACCCAGCCCCAGAGAGAACCACACCTCTCTTCAGACATCCGCTGTCCCCAGCCACCTGTAGTCACCCCTAAATCACCCCTTAAGAAAGACAAGAAGTCCAGGTACCTCGCTGGGCACCAGGGGTTCACACCTGTTATCCTAGCTAACTCAGGAGGCTGAGATCTGAGGATTCAAGTTCAAAGCCAGCCCAGGCAAGGAAAAGCCCGTGAGATGGTTATCTCCAATGAACCACCAAAAAGCTGGAAGTGGAGCTGTGGGGCTTAAGTGGTAGGGTGCTAGACTTGAGTGGAAAAAAGCTAAGGAACAGTGCCCAGACCCTGAGTTCAAGCCCCAGGACAGGCAAAAAGAAAGGGAAGGGAAGATGGTACTGAGCCCTATGGGCAGCGCTGGGACCCTTTAGTTTGGCCACCCCCGCCCAGCCTGGTGCTCCATGTGACCTGAGATGAATCATTTTCCTAGCAATTCCCAGTCAGCCCTTGCAGGGGCCACAGTGCCCCTCCCCCACGGAGGGGACCATGGGAACTGAACAGAGCCTAGATCTGGGCTGTGTCCTTGGGGAGCTGGCTGCAGGGACAGTCCCAGCTGGGCCAGACTCCCTGAGCAACCACCCCGCTGAGGACCAGAGCCTCCCACGCCAGCCAGCGAAAGGAGGGGAAGGAGGACAGAGACCCTCCCACACAGATAAGGTCCCTGGCTCACAGGTGGGTGGAGCAGGGAAATCAGGCAGTGGGGAGCTGGAGGGGTGGGGGGGGAGGGAGATAACTGTGTGTGCATGAGCTCTATTCTGGGTCCCTGAACTCATGGGGGAGTTTCTCCAAGGTATTTGTACCCAGCCCCCTAACTTCATCAATGTTTCCAGAACACAGCCTTGAGGCTCAGAGCATGATGGGGGTAAATGAGGCAGAAACCCAGTAAAGAAGTGAACTGCCAAGAGTTAAAACGCATTGCCTGAGCCCGGTGCTGGCGGCTCACACCTGTCATCCTAATTACTCAGGAAGATGAGATCTGAGGATCACCGGTCAAAGCTAGCTGATACAGGAAAGTCCGTCAAACTCTTCTTATATCCAAGGAACCAGCAGAAAACCAGAAGTGGAGCTGTAGCTCTAAATGGTAGAGCACTAGCCTTGAGCAAAAGAGTTCAGAGACAGAATCCAGGCTCTCAGTTCAAGCCCCATGACTGACCAAAAAATAAAATAAAATAAAGACATTGGCTCATGCCTATAATCTTAGCTACTCAGAAGACTTGAGATCTGAGAATCAATTCCTGGTTGGAAGCCAGCCAGGGCAAGACAGTCCAGGAGACTCTTATCTCCAATGAACACCAGCAAGATGCCAGTGGTGGTGCTGTGGCTCAAGTGGTAGAGCACCATCCTTGAGTCAGAAAAAAAGCTAAGGGACAGCAGTTAGGCCTTGAGTTCGAGTCCCAATACAGGCACTCATGTGCACGTCCACATGCATACACACACTCAAGAATGAAGCATCAGCTGGGTGCAATAACCCTCCACCTAGAATAGCACCCTGCCAGAGCTCAGTCTCAACACACCTGCCCAGTGAGTAAACGAGATTAGCCTAGGAAGATGACCCCACTCCGTCCGGGCGAGGCCTCGCCTGCTCTCCCTGAGGCTTTACCTTTCTGCAGGTGGATGATGTCAGGGAAGTTGGAGAGCAGGCCCTGGTAGAGAGACAGCGTGTCGAGCATCTGGAAGAGGTCATTTTTGGGTTGCTCCGCAAACATCTCACCCACAGCTTCATAGGTCCGGCCCGTGTGAGAAATGGCGTGATTGAGGGCCTCTGAGCTAAAGGGAGGGTCCATCTGGAAGGCATGGCTGATGGCTTGGAAGGCACTGCCCAGCTTCTGGAACTCCTTCCGGAATCCCCCAACGTGCTTGCGCACCAGCTCGGAGGCCACGGTGCTCAGCTGCAGGACGCTGTCGTCCATCTTCTTGCTGAAGGCCTTGAAGATGTCCACGCGGTCCTCCACATCCTGGAGGTCTTGGTGCTCTGTAGGGATCTGGAAGGTGAGCAGAAAGCTGGCACCCACCAAGTCGTCCTTCTCGGCGCGGCGTTTGCCCATCTTCCACTGCTTATCATCCCGGCAGCTGAGAAAATGCTGGAAGCCTTCATACTGGGACAGCACCGGGTGGCTGGTCATGTGATCCATCCAGAGAATCAGCCTGCGCTTCCGCTTGGCGATGAAATCCTCTTCGAAGCGGCCTGTGGCCTGCTTCTCTGGCAGGTGTGGCACGGAGATGACCGTGAACTTGTGCAGCAGGCGGTTGTACAGCCAGTCGAAGTGTTTGTAGCGCCGGTAGACGGGCGAGCTGGCATGGGTCGGTGTGAGTTTGTAGGAGATGTAACTTTTGATGCCTTTGAACTTGGTCTGCTTGGTTGGATCCTCCACCGAGCAGGCAAACGGGTGCGGGTTGGCCTTCCACTGGGGGCCCCGTGGACCCATCTCGATGGAGTAGGTCTCGGCAATCTTGGCCATCATGGGCACATCCCCCAAGATGAAGGCCTCCACCCCGGATCGCACGAAGCAGGAGAAGCGGTTCAGATTGCGGCCTACCACGCTGCCTCGCTTGGCAGAGGCCAGGCTGTCCTGGCGCTCCAGGGGTGGCTTGGGCCGGAAGGCCATGTGCTGGGCGGGGTAGGCGCCCGGGTAGGACAGGTTGAGCGGGGGGTGCCCGTTGGTGCCCAGCCCGCCGGCCCGGGGCTCTTCCACCACCGTACAGCCATCATCCCAATCGTCCCAGTCGTCATCGTCATCTTCCTCGAAACTGCCCGGGTTGGAGTACAAGCCCGCGCCGCTCCGGGCCGGGCTGGCGACCCCGGGGCTGCTGTACAAACCCACCGGGGCGCCCGGGGCAGGGCTGGCGGGGCGGCCGGGGCGGCCGGCCGGCGGCTTCTCCGCAGGGTCGGTGCCGGCGGCGTCGGGCTGGACGATCTCCACGTACGAGGCCGGGAAGAGCCCGGTCTCCCCGCGGCTGTTTCGTCCCTGCAGCCAGCCATCCAGAGAGTTCTCGCTGAAGACCACCAGCTCCTCGTCCTGCTGGATGCTGATCTCCTCCTGGTTCTCGCTGTGGAAGTCGTACAGGGCGCGGCCTTTCAGGGCCATGGCGGGGCCGGCGGGGTCGGGGTGGGGGTCCCGGCGGCGCTGGGCTCAGGGCCCACTCCTGTCCCATGCTGGCTCTTGGTGGCACAGATCCTGCCTTGTCCCAGAGCCTTGTTTTCTCAGGATAATATGTGTGTGTGTGTGTGTGTGTGTGTGTGTGTGTG